CTTAAACAGTGAATGTTCGGTTGGTATGTAGCCAACAAGCATCTTCTTTCTCATGTATCTTCTGGGGGCCCGAAGCGCTTGAAGAATCACGATTTATTCGATTATCCAGAGCTCTTAGGGAGCGAGAAGAGAAAAGAAACGATTATTTGACCGATTTTCTATATGGGAAACAGCAGACAGAAATCACCTCTAATTCCCTCTAAGCGAGGCGGGGGCATAAAGCGCCTAAGGTACCTCAAAATATCTCTATGTCAGCTTCTTTATCATTCTCTATTTACTTTATCTCTTATGAGTCCCGGTTGTATGAAAGATCTAGATAGGCTTCCAGAATCTCTGGACAAGTCTATATAAGGGGGCCAAAATCCTCACATATTTACATAAAGTCAAGCAGTCTTGACTACATTAACGGTCTCTGCAACATTTCCCTATCTACTTCGTACTATCATTGCATCTAGCCCCATTTACACAACTCTCCTTAAACGTAAGCAGGCTGACGTCAACCCTCGGCACTACGAAAGCTTCTCTCTTGACGCCATTCTCCCCCGGAGCCTAAACGCAATCATCTCATTTCCCTTATCACCCACCTTAATACTCTTTCCTCGTCTGTATCCGTTTCCTGGGGTGACTCCAACTATCAGTTGGTGATGATTAGAGTTTGCGAAAACTGCGAGGCCCTGGGCCATATGGCCAAGAACTGCCCTATTCCACGCTGTTACAGCTGTTCGGAGTTGGGACATATTGTGCGAAGATGCCCATACAATAATTGTGACTATTGCAAGGAAAATGGCCATGAGGCTCGCGATTGCTTGCAAAAGATAAAATGTTTTGGTTGTGGGGAGTTTGGCCATAGGAAGAAGGACTGTCTCCGGAAACCAGGACAGGAAAAACCGACGGTAATGTTTCTCTTTACAAACTTCACTCTGATGATGCTTTGGCTAATATTGATCTCTTATAGGACTACCCAGCAGCATTTACTTTTCCCAGTGTAAAGGACATAGCCCACCAAATCGTGAAGGCGGTCTTCGATTCCCACGATGATGAGATAAAGCACATACCATATCGAACTGTCATCGAAGCTTGTGGGGGAGTGGATATTGTTGTGGATGCAATGATTTCATCCATCGACCCTGACATTAGGGCGCTTGAGGGACAAACAGTGACTGGAGAAGTGTAAGCTCCTACATTTCATTTCTGATCATGGAGTTACTAACCAACCACAGACTGAATTCCATTCGACTGAAGCAGCTTTCTACACCAAACCCTTGGCCCATTAACAGTGGGTACTTAGACTTTGTGACCAATACCACCGACACCGCCTATCTGCGCTTCTATGTGGGACAGGCCGAGAAGACAATTCTTCGCATCAAGTTACACATCCGCAATATCTTGATCGGGTTGCATAATACTTTGCATTATTATGTTATTTGGAAAGGTCAAGGATGCCGTTTAGCTAACTTTTTAAGATTATGGGTTTTGAATCTCCCTGAGGGTGTTGATAACACTATCAAACTCGTTTTTAATAACATACTGGAGATGATAATGTGCTGTGTTTTCCAGTCATTGCCAACAAATCTTCTTGAGAGATGGGTCGCAAAATCTGTGAAATCGCCATATTGGGGAAAGGGCCTAAATGTCATGACCCCACTGGTTCAAGGTCTCTCCATGAGTTCTGCGTTGCGTGTAGAACAACGGCTAAAACTTAAAGATTCCTCGGATCCTGATATCCGGGATTGGCCTGAGTTTCGACATAAGCAAATCCAAGAGGAACGATCGAGATCGAAATCGAAATCACAAGGTCGCCGTGTACCAACCTCGCCAGGTGTGATTGAATACCTTGGGATTTTGGAAAAGACAGTGCAGAGCTCCATAGGGCCCCATTCTGTGTTCGAAATCGAGCCTGCATGCAGCGAGAAGAAATATTTTCTTCCAGATTTTCAGCGATATGCAGAGAAACTGGCGAATATTACTGGAAAATGCCCTAGTCTGCTGCCTCCATTTGGTGATCTAACTGCACGTATCGGCATCATCTTAGAACATGGATATTTCAAAACAGCAGAAGCTGTTTCTTCAGAAATAAAACAGCTTGATCTTCCCTCGGGACTACGTCATACAGGCTTTAATGAGAAAAACTGCCTGATATGGCCTTTCAGGTTCCAAGATAGCCAAGAGATTGCAAATCTAAATCATGTTAAATCTCTTACTACTGAAGAGGCCAATGTTCTCAGTCAACTCAGCCGCCAGTTGATCATCAGTAGTAATCTCAAGATTATTATTCTATCTGGTGAAACTGTCTGCAATTATATTTTGACAAGTTATCATAACGACACGAGGCTGGTTCCTACTAGCCTTGATATTCGTGGATATAATATCAAAGTATATCTAGAGAGAACTGGTTTAAGAGTAGAGAGGCTCTATATCCAGTCTCCTGGACTGATCGGATCACTTTGGGCTAATAAATGGTCTGCTTCTATCCAAATAGGGGAGATATTCCGTTTCGCTTCGATAATTACGAGAACACCCAACATAACAGGACATTTCTTCAACTCTGTTACTATTCATGTTGCAATTTGTCGCCAATATCGAGCGGAAAACAATAAAAACTGTTCACCAATGACTTTGACCACTATTGATCCCGATATTAGAGCCTGGCTTTATACCAAAGGCTTTCAAAATGATGATGACATTATCACTCTAGAACGACTCGGTGGTACTCTGACAAGAGGCCTTTCTATGCTCTTACATGCACTGCCACGTTGCCCAAAACAGCACAGAGAATACAGCCATCCTACACGTTCATATTGTGATAAAGAGGAAATAGGGTTCCTTGACAAGAACAAGATGTCCCAAGTTAAGGCGCTTTATGAGTCTTTAGTTTCTTCGAGCGTGTCACACCGAGATTTCTCGGAAGATCGGGCGGGCTCCCCAGTAGTAATTACTTCTGAATTCAGCTCTCACCGGCTCTCCAATACCATGGATGAGGAACACCAGCTGGAGCCATCTATCACCAATCAAGAAATCAAAGAATTCATCGGACAAGAAGAGGATATTGAGCCTGAGACTCTCACACAAGTGATACTTGATGAAAAAGAGACCTATCATCTGATCTATCAGTCTGGTAATAGGGGGGATCCACGAAGACCAGAAATCAGAGCTCAAGATCAGTCTCTCAAGAGATTATCTCGAACATCAATGAAGAACTAGATAAGTCTTCTGGTGGGTCGAACTTATGCGGGATGCTACCGTCCATTACATGAACAATATACAATCGATGTTCATCATCTAAAATTAACCATAAGTGCACCACTTGTGTACCAGATGGACGCAGCGGCAGGTTCTACTGTTTATGTGGAAATCAAACCGAGTGGAGTATCGCATCCAGATCGTTATGCGACTAATGCTCGTGCAGATGATAAAGCTATACAACTTGGCTTTCGTGTTCGCATAAAGCTCAAAAATGGTGAGTATTTTGATTGTTATCCGAACAGCTATTCTGATAGAGCTCCAATGATCGCAAATTCCTTTCTTGATTGGATGGAGGGTTGTCTTGAGGAGGAAATTATTACAAGGCCAAGAAGATTTGGCTATGTTAATCTTAATCTGAAAGGAGTCCCCGATTCCTTGAGACGTTTTGTTGGAGGTGCGTATACTGATGATGAAGGTAATTTTGTTCCCACGAAAAGAAAGAGAGGCCCTGCTTCAGATGAACAGTCATGAATGGTATGGAGGACTTGAGAGTCGATTTTTAGCAGATAATCATGTTGAGGTTGGAATGTAAGAGAATATGTGAAGACTATCATCTCTATGGTTGAGTGTAGACAAGCAGGATGGCAAACATTACATAATTACTAAGTTACCTGTTAGGTAACTAATCGGAAGGGTCACAAGAGTCGTAGGCGCAAAGTCAGGTTCGACAGAAATTGACATCGATGCCTAGCATGCTCTGCACTACCTCATTATAGGATTAATTGCATGCCTGGTGTGTTAATATCCATCACTGTGGAAGTTGTACTATGTGGCTTTCCAGATCCTAGTTAGTATGGTGGATAGGGAAACAGTGTGGCCTCACTACTCCTTTGTAGAGTAGGGTTGTTGATTGTTAAATGGGATGGCCGCACTTTCCTTGGATAGTAGATAGGATAAAGATGGCTGGCCATTAAATAATTGTATTGAGCTATCATTTGCTGGATTATGGGTAACATGAAATCACATTCTAGTATGGCTTGCTATTAAGTATCAGATAGGCATCATCACTTGTTTGCTAATGATCAGCGCGTCATGTTATTTGGTCTTATTAAGTAATGTCATTTAGCTAGTAACGGTAACTAGCTCGAGTTCATCAAGCTCTGTCATTCAACATCACTTTCGACGATTACAGGTTTTATGAGGCTGGCCAACCAGCAAGGTAGCAACACACTTACCGAAATATATACAATATAGCCCTATACCGTCTAGCCACGATATTCACTCGCCTAAGTAATATTGAGGATAGCTTATTACTTATTATAAGATAGGGAGTCTGTCGTGCAAGCTGTATCTTATCAGGATGCGGATATTTAGATTATAGATCGTGGTTAGGAGAATGTAATTTTTTATATTACTCATCATCTAGTTATATGAATCATGGTATTCTCTAACTACCTACTCTACCGGGATCGCCATGGCTGAATAGTAAAGAGGGGGTGTGTTAGAATGCTAACATCAAGAAATAAGAGGCAGGAAAGGAAAGAAGAATCCCGAGAGAGATCTATCAAAACAACATATATATATATATGTAGGTCAGAAATATCATGAATGAATGACATATACTTTCTCTTTATCAAAAAAATACATACCCCTTCTCTAGAGCTCACTATTTAAATTCATTAATCTAACTTTTTTCCCCTTCTTGTTTTTACTGAATTGTTTGAATTGTTCCTCAAGTACGAGATATGCTTGTTAATAGCCAATCCTATAATTTACAAGCTCATGAATCCTTAATTCTGGCCAAATAACATCTCAATGGTTGTGTAGTGTAGTGGTTATCACTCCAGATTTTGATATATACATGTATCACAAATCACCTTCTGGTATCCTGGGTTCGAATCCCAGCACGACCTCTTAATTTTTTATATATCACATTTTAATACCCTGCTTGGTGAGTGAACTTGGTACCAGCATGACACATCTCAACGGTTGTGTAGTGTAGTGGTTATCACTCCAGATTTTGATATATACATGTATCCAAATCACCTTCTGGTATCCTGGGTTCGAATCCCAGCACGACCTCTTAATTTTTTATATGTCACATTTTAATACCCTGCTTGGTGAGTGAACTTGGCACCAGCTAGTGGTTATCACCAGATGTATGGCTCTCCACCCACTTCCTGCCTACTACAGCATATACTAATCACCAACTTATAGTTTGATATATACATATATCACAAATCACCTTCTATCCTGGTCGAATCCCGGCACGACCTCTTCATTATTTTTTAAATAATATTTTTTAATACCTGTTTGGTGAGTGAAGCCGGCACCAATATAACAAAAACCGTCAATATATATATTAATTTCAAAAGATTAATTAATATTGAAGTTATTATTCTGTCATAGTGGTGGTCAGGTCAAGTGGTGGTCGCGTGGATACGTAGCTACCTCAGCCAATAGGATTTCTGCCTATCCTGGAATAGTAGTATATAGGATTTGGTTTTTGTTTTGTAAAGGGAAGGGCAAAAACCCCTCATGACCAAGACGGCAGGAGTTCTAGATCCTATTACCTGACTTATATACCGTGGCTTGATTATTTATCGTAGGACAGAGGAAAGAAGATCGTGTTTCATGTAAGATTCTTGTCATGTGCCCCGCGTGTGGCAGTTGCTATCAGCAGGTACTTCTATGTTTGGTGGTCAATACCGGTTATCTCCCCCTCCTGCCTAATTTAAGCCAAGTAACTTCAAGGTACTGAAAGGCAGTAGGAAAGTAAAAAAAATGCAGTCAGTCCCCGATCCTCCTCTTCCTCCACCTCCTCCTCTTCCAGCATCATTCCATCCAAACCACACCTTTCATAACCTTTCGCCATCCCCCAGTCTTCAAAATCTTTATTCCATCAGTTTCAAGAGTTGATTTTTTATTTTTCCCCCCAACAATAAGCTAAATAGATCATCGCATCGATCGATTTATCTTCCCCACTACCCTGTCCAAGCTACGGGGCCCAGAAGGCACCTGACTGCCCCATTCCGCCCGGCCCCGGGTACCCCCCCCACCACTCATACATTCACCCCGTCAGTCATCGGGCATCCCGCTTCCATCACTCCTCCCTCAAGGAAGTTAGGTAGTTACCTACTTGACAGACTCACAAGTGTCCTCTTTCTGTCCTTGACGACAGACCGAGATCAAACGCTTCCTCCTGAGAAGTTAACGTATTCTCCCGCTAATCTCCGTCCACTTCTTTTGTTCCTGCGTCTTTACTCGACCGAAACCTCCGCTCTGCATCGTTACTTGGCTTACTCCACCTTTACCGTCCATGATATCTACAAGCATCTACTGCTAGCGACATGGCTAACTCTACAGAGCCTTCCTCCAGACGTCCGTCGTCCGCCTCTTCCACTTCACATTTTCGTTATCCAACTCTGCCTCTGGGCGGATCTGTCGAGGAGTGGCTCTCACGCTCTAGACCAATCACTATGACGTCAACTCCACCCCCGGACCATACCCCCAAATCCTTGGGCGAAAGCTGGGCAACATTAAGTGCGTCGGATATTCATTCAGAAGATGGCACACCCTCGGAGCAAACGGATATGGGATCTTTGATCGACCAGCCCGGCCCGGACGATGTTGCCAGCCTCGATGAGCGGTATAGCAGTAGCGAGATCGATGGAAATGAGGATGAGAGGTTTGAAGAAAACTATGATACCAAAAGCAATATCTCAGAGTCCCAAGAGCTCACTGGCCTCTTCCCCCAAATTCGAAGCTCGATCGATGACAGCAACCTTACTACCAAGACAGCTTTTCGTCAATCACCTGAGTCCATCGAGTTTGTTGAGCCCGAGAATTGGCCTGAGGCCGAGCAGGTAGAGTCGAAACGCACCATCTGTGTATTTGACAGCCTCGAGGCCTCGAAAATCAAAACTCAGTTCTCCACCGACTTGAGAGACTGCATCCTTACCGCCAGCGTCCAGCAGACAATGACGAGGAAGAGCCTGGATACCGATAAACCTTTCCGCGTACTTTACACGGGGGACCCAGAGTTCCGAAATATCATTCTTGACAAAGTCGGTGATGTTCTCGTGTCAAGCACTAGTAGTGGTTTTGAAAGCAGTTCGACAGAGTCTCTCAGATATCATGTCGTTCCTACTTCTTTCGGTGTAGGAGCAGTCCCCAACTATGCAGAGCTTCTTCCAATACATGTCCAGCTTGTTGTGGACGAGTGTTCTGAAGCTGTTTCGGAAACTCAAACCAATGGGCCCAGTAAAATCGAGCTGGAACTCAAAAATCGACCTGCCTGCGCGTCTTCCTGGTCTGGGAGGGAATACACTATTTCATCCCCGTGTGAGTGGTCACTCCCTGATATAGCGATCATCTTTTTGTCCAGTACGGATACAGAAGCGACAATGGAGACTCAAAAACTTGTGCGCATTTTCATGGAAAGACATGGTGTGCCCGTCATGCTTATATCAGAAAAACCACTTTGGGAGACGCCTAGAGAATTCGTTCCCCTGAATCCTCATAGCTTACACATGTGTTTGGAATCCCGCCATCCCCTGACTGGGAAGACCTCAGTTATGAGACGATACCCTATTGACTTGAGAACCTTTGAGAGCATTTTCCCGGGGCAACTGAATAGGAACCTTGCATCATTGGCAAGCCTCTACCCAAAGAAACCCTGCAAAACCATATCCGAGAGCCCCAACCCCACTCAGAAGAAATCGATCTTCGCCGTTGAGAATTATGCAAAAAAGATATTCCCTCTTCCCTATATGCTGGAAAACCACGAGTTGGCGCCGGCAGTACGCCTACTGGCTCTACTTCTTCTGTCGGTTGTTGTTATATCCTTGGGGTATTCAGGCATCCGGGTTGCCTTCATCTTCTTTTCGCAACTATTTGCTAGCACTTCTGTCTCAGATCTATCCACCTCAGAATCTGTCAAAACAGTAACCAGTATTGTTTCGGTCCAGAGGGCGGTTTCAGTGTCTCCTTCGGCACTATCCTCATCGTCCGGCCAACTTCCGGTTCTAGGGACCAAGTTCCACAAACGCCCCGTACTGGATGACCTACTCGCAAGCGTGGTGCCCATCTCCGAGCAAAACGAACAATCAAACAGCTATGAGATACAAGTGGTGGGTGACTGCCACCTGGTGATCAAGTCCCCAAATACATCATCATCCGGGAAAAAACACCAGAAGTTCAGTGTTCAGGTCAGCCGGCGGGGCCAGGGTCTCGACTATGAGCTCTCCCAACTATTTGACGGCGTATATACACTGAAGCTAGACCGAGGAGATGCGTATGGTATAGTGAATGTCACAATTACCACTAGTTCCTGGCCTGCTAAACATCAGACCACATCTGTGGATTTTGGGACTCCATGGCTGAAAATTGCAAATTGGAAACGCGCGGCCCAGACTATAAGCTCACAACTGATGAGAGAGTTCAACACCGCACAGACTGGGCTATCCGAAGTATACGGCCGTCTCTCCACCGATCTACAGGTGGTTATGGGAGATGTGGTGAAACGGGCTCATTTAATCCGCCGAGAAGCGGAGTCATTCCGACGGGATTCTGTCCAGGCTTCTCTGGGAACGAAAGAAGTGGTCCTTTCACGATCGAAGCAGCTGTCCGAGGCCGTCCGACGCAATGCTGTGCAGCCATTCCTGGCCGTTTCCTCGGTATTACAAGGCCATACAAACGAGTTTAACCGAGAAGCGAGAGAGATAATGAGTGATACTTGGACCCGAATAAGCACGCGTGCACAAGGGTTTGATCTTAGTACAATGCTCGACCATGTGCGAAATGCAAGCAAATGCAAGGCTCTGGACACAGCACAGAAGAGAGCAAGAGGTCTGATGCGACGACAGAAAAGATGTCGACGTGCAGAATGTTCCCCATAAGATGGAGGGAGCTTCACGAGTTAATGCGGCGTTGAATTCGTCATTATATCACACATAGTACTCCTTCCCTCCTCCCCCCCATTCGTTTTTTTGTTTTTTTGTTTTGTTAGTATGTTATGCTTCGGTATCTTTTGGGATTGGGATTGGGACTTTGTTGGTCTCAGGCGTAAAACAGCGGGAGCCCAGGTAATACTGCAATATCAAGTAGGTAGCTTTAGTGGCGTTGCTCTTGAGACTGGATCTGATGGATTGCTCAAGGTTCTGATACTTTGTCTCAATAATGGGTATTTGGAATGATGATGTACTCTTTTTTCCTTGAGTTAGATCTGCATGAGTAGGCAATACTGCTACCAACGTCATCTTGCGGAATATACCTAGACCAGCGCAATGCTAGTAATATAGTAGTAATATAGTAGTAATATAGTAGTAATATAGTGGGTGTATCAAAGGGGTGGTTAACTATAAATGACCGAAGATTGATGTTTTTGGTTGGTGATTCATCTGCGGGTTGGTTTGCTAACTAATAATCATAGTAACTAAACTTAGGGCCCGGCCGTAGTCCCAAAAAGGCAGCGAACCTTCTCCCCACCAGAAAAACAAACCCTCCCCGTTCATATTTTCCCCCCTCCTCCTCCTCTCTTATTGATACCGACTCCTTTCTACCCCCCATAAATTCTTAATCGCCTTTTCCCTCACTTTCCATCTATACCTCAGGTACCGTACTCCCCTCTTCTGGCTCTTCCTCTCTTGCAAACTGGTCGCCTCGCTCACAACCCCTCCAACAGAGTCCCGCTCTCTTTATTCACCATGTCTGACACCAAGCCTGACCCCACCACCGTTCCTGAGGCTGAGAAGCCCGAGGAGACCACCCCCGCCACCACCGAGGCTCCTAAGGCTGAGGAGGAAAAGCCCGCCGCTGCTACTGAGACTAAGACCACCGACAGTGTTTTCTCCATGTTCGGTGGAGGCCCAAAGAAGGAAAAGAAGGAGGAGCCTGAAGATGACCAGAACGA